GTGTCCATCCAGGAACTCCTTGCCAAATCCAACGTCATAAAGCTTTTCGATTTTCTTCTAAGAGTTTTATCATTTTAGGTCTGATGTTTAGGTCTTTGATCATTTTAAGTCACTATTTGTATATGGTGCTAAGCGTTCAACTTCGTTCTTTTACATGTGGCTATCCAGTCTTCCCTGCACCGTTTGTTGAAGAGGCTGTCCCTGCCCCACTGAATGGTCTTCGCGTCCTTATTGAAAATCATTTAACTATATATGTGAGGGTTTATTTCTGGGGTCTCTGTTCTAGTCCATTGTTCTACATGTTTGTCTTTATGCCAGTATAATACTGTTGATTATTTTAGCTTTGTAGTGAGTTTTGAAATCAGAAAATTGAGAACTTCAACTTTGTTATCCCTTTTCAAGATTATTTTGGCTATCTGGGGTCCCTTGAGGTTCCATGTGCATCTTGGGATGGATTTTATATTTCTCTAAAAAATGCTGTTGGGCTCTTGACAGGGAATTGCATTAAATCTATAGATCACTGAATGAATGGGGGGAATCGGAGGGGGAGATGAACCATGAGATTATGGACTCTGAAAAAACAAACAGGGTTCTAGAGGGGAGGGGGGTGGGGGGATGGGTTAGCCTGCTGTTGGGTATTAAAGAGGGCACGTTCTGCATGGAGCACTGGGTGTTATACACAAACAATGAATCATGGAACACTACCTCAAAAACTAATGATGTCATGTATGGTGATTAACATAACAATAAAAAAATCTATAGATCACTTCGGGTAATACTGACATCTTAATAACATTAAGATTTCCAGTCTATAAACATGGGATGTCTTTCCGTTTATTTGTATCTTCTTTCTTTCAGTAATCTTTTATAGTTTTCAGTTTATAAATCTTTTGCTTTCTTGGTTAAGTTCATTCTTAAGTATTTCTCTTTGTGATGCTATTGCAAATGGAAGTGGATCATTTTTTTAAGTGTTTTCTTAATTTCCTTTTTGTTCATTAGTGTATAGAAACACAACTGAATTCTGAGTGTCATCAGTTTTGTATCCTGCAACTTTGCTGAATTCATTTATTAGTTCTGTTTTATTTTGTGGAACTTCAGGATTTTCTATGTATACCATCACGTCATCTGCAAACAGACACAATTTTAATCCTCAATTCCTGTTGGAATGTCTTTTCTTTCTTTTTCTTACCTACTTGCCCTGGTTGAGACTTCCCATAGTACTACGTGTAATAAAAGTGGTGAAAGTGGACATCCTTGTTTCTGATCTTAAAGGAAAAGCTTTCAGGGGCGCCTGGGTGGCTCAGTCAGTTAAGCATCTGACTCTTGATCTCAGCGCAGGTCTTGATCTCAGGGATCAAGCCTACTTAAAAAAAAAAAGAAAAGCTTTTAGTCTTTCACTGTTGAGTACGATGTGATCTGTGGGTTCTTCATAGATGGCCTTTATTATATTAAGGTAGTTTCCCTCAGTCAGTTTGTTGAGTGTTTTTATCACAGAAGGGTGTTGCATTTTGCCAAATGGTTTTTCTGCATCAACTGATATAATTATATGGTTTTATTTCCCTCCATCCTGTTTGAAAAAACCTCTTTTTTCTTCATCCTCAGCCTAATAGTATTTGAAGAGGAAAAGAAGAAAAGATGAGCACATTCACGAGACAATGCCGACCTCTTAATCCTCCTCCAATAGAAACCTTTCCTAAGCACATACATCCCATGGTACACATGGTTGCACAGTGAGTCCTACACCCAAGGCTCAGGACCGGCTGTTCAGAAAAAATGTCAGACAACACAAATCTTATCCTGATACCAATTATAATGTGTGGGTTTTCCTCTCACAATACCAAGCAATTCTAGGATACCAGCTGGGTGTCCTACAGTTCAACTCAATTCAGACACTGTCCACATAGAGACAGCATCAGGTCCGCTGCCTATGCGGTCAGTCCCAAAAGGCTGCCCTCCACTTCAGATGCCAATCACAAGTCCCCTGGGCCTCTGACGGGCTAGAAATCAGAGGTTCCCATGACCCTCTCCCTTGAATTCCACTAATTTGCTAGAGTGAGTCATAGAACTAAGGAAAACAGTTTACTCATTAAGTTACCAACTTACTATAAAAGGATAGGACCCGGGGACAGCCCAATAGAATAGCTGCATCGGGCAAGGTGTAGGGGAAAGGCAGGGAGCTTCCAGGTCCTCCCTGGATGTGCACCCTCCCAGCATCTCCATGAGTTCACCAACTGGATACTCTCTGAACCCTACTGTTTTGGGCTTTTATGGAGGCCTCATGACACAGGCTTAACTGATGAAAACATTGGCCACTGGCAACTTAATTCAATCACCAGCCTCTCCCAGGAGAAGGGGGGGCACAATGAAGGGGGGGATCAGGTGGGGGGTGGGTAGGCCTCAGAGTTCCAACCCCTCTAACTGCATGGTTGGTCCTCCCCATCCTTAGGTTACCTAGGGTTTTTCCAAAAGTCGCCTCATTAACAGCAAAATACACCTTTACCATTCCCATCACTTAGTAAATTCCAAGGATTTTAGGAGCTCTGCCAGAACTCAGGTGAAGACCAAACTATTTTTTACTGTAAGTCACAATATGGTGACGTGACTTTCAGCTGTCCCCGGTACACAAAGAACCAAGACTTCAGTCAGAACAGGTTTATTTTTAAAATATCAAACAAAATGATCATACAAAACTGCCTAGAACAAGGGGATAAAGGGATCCTGTTTACTGAATATCACATATCTATCACTGAAAATCCCTCCCTGAGCAAGGGGCACAGGATGCATACTCCCTAGCGGTTTGCAGGGAGCTCGTCACCTGGGTGAGTGAGTGTGGCCTGGGTGTGGATTCAGGATGCACGAAGCGTGTTGTCCCCTGAGAGGAGCATGTGCTTAAGCTCTCCCCGAGATTTCCCAGTGGTGCTCTCTCCCTTGAAATACTAATGGACCTCCTTGTTCTCTTCCCAGACCTCTTGGTTAATTAAGATTGTCTCTGTAACTAGAAGTTATAAAATATTCTCGAAAGCCACCATATCCACCACGTTTTTGATGGCGTTGGAGAAACACTCCATTTGCGACAGCGATGCCCAGACTTCGATGATAACAATGCACAACTATGCTACTGGGGGGAATGAAAGGAGATACGCATGAGCAGGGAGCCTCTTTTCCCCTGGGACTGACTTTGAAGCCGTGGGAGTAGCTGCCAGATTCTATTGTCACTTAAAGAGTGCCCTACAAACAGCTCTCAACTGACAAAGAGCTGCTTGGCTTACGAACAGCAATGCCAAGGTGAAGGGACGACAGTTTGGAAGGCCGGCACCCTCATCAAAGGACGTAAAAACGAACCAGTCCGGTGGGCTGAACTGCACACCCTTTTCTCAGCAGTAATGGAAGACTTGAACAGAACAAGAGTCCATCTGTCTGGGTTTTTTGACTCAGGGGTTGTGGCCAGTGGCCTGGCCAGTCAGGCAAATGGCACTGGAAAGCTGGCCTATGAAAGGGATGCCCGTGTGGGGCCCAGCCCTGTGGAAATCACTATGGGAACTGGAGGGGGGGGCATGAAAATAGGACACAACAATGCCCATCAGTAGAAATGCCTTCCATGTTTGGAAGGGGATTGGAATCGGCCCAGGGTCCTCACTCCGGGTGGCCCCCTGGGCACACGAGTGGACGTGGGGGTTCTGTAGCAACATAGAAATGTGCTGAATCTTGACAAGGCCCCCTCGCATCCACGGCGGCACAAAATGCCTACAAGAACTGTTCTGTCTGCCCACGCGAGAGACAGAGCCCGCAGATAGCTCCGTGGCAGGCTCTCTGGTGGGAACAGACTGGGATTCTGAACAGGCTTTGGTTACCTGGTGGTACACGCAGACGCCCAGAGTGCTGTAAAGGAACCGCAGCGGAACCTGCAACCGTGTGGACCCGAGTCCCATTCCCTCAGACCGGGACACATACTGATAGCCCATGATGCCCAACAACCAGCCGAGAGCTCCCCTCCGCAGAGGAACAGCTCAATAGGAAACTGCGATGGGCCTTGGGAGCCCTGGCTATTGAAAACCGGGGGAGACAGGGCCTGAGGGGCGGTAAGTGGGCTGGTAAGTGCCGGTAACTACTGACGACAGGACCAGGGTTCCTGGGTGTCCCCCTGGTAGACCCAACGCTTTCCACACACGAATGGGGGACAAAGTGGTCAGGGGTGGGAGAGAAGTCTCTGGAACTCTGATCCAGGAGCTCCGTGGGAAGCCCCAGAACCGGCTGTGAACGGACGCAGAGACCGGCAATGTGCGGGCTGACAGGATTATGGGTGAAGTGTGGACAGAGACTGGAACGTTCCCACAGGCTTGACGGGAAGAGCTGGTGGCCATTAGTGCCTGTTTCGTGGGCACGACTATTGCGTCTCCCTAGGGAGCACTTCCCCTGCTCGCAACTGTCAATCCAAACCTGCTGGGGAGGCCCGGTGAGGAGTGCAAGGGCCGGCGGGGCGAAGGCGGAAGCTGGACAAGAACAGCCCTGCATGTTTGAGTGGCCTTAGCAACACTGGCTGCGTCTCTTTACTCAGACGCATGTCAACGGATACCGCGCCTCTCTGGGGAACGTTCCTGTACCCAGTGCGGTAACACAGGCTTGTAAACAGGAACCAGCCAAAGTCAATGCAGGCACGCTACCTGGGAAGCACCCAGATGGCCGGAGCCCATGCAGTGTAGACAGGAGCTGGAGGGCTGATACTCTGTGCCATACTGGGCATGGGGTGTAGACCAGAGCCTGTCAGCGCCTCCGGCAACAGCACTGGGACTCTGGACTGGGTGGAGAGCTTCCACCAGAGGGCCAACTCCGAACTTGCTGAAGGAAAGTAAAGGGACAAGCACCCCGTACCTAAAGAACATGAAATCCCCATGCAAGTGAAACACTCACAATGTCTCAGAGGTCCCAAGGCTTAGGAGCGACTTCCGTGGGGCTTCCCACGGAAGTTAAGTTCAGAAAAACTTAAAACAACACGAGCCTTCTCCTGGTCCCTGACATAGCAACCGAGGCTCAAATGCACAAGTTTTATTCTTTACATAACAAGTGATACGCTCATACAAAAACAGCTACATTGCTAAACTAGTGTCTAAAGTGCTTGAGTTCCCAGAGTGTCACACACGCGCCACCATGGCACACGTATGCCCTGATCCAGGGGGAGGGGATGGGCTTTCTTCCCGGCGGTTTGCAAGGAGGTCCCCACTTGTGAGGGGGGAACACAGCTTGCGTGTAGACTCACACCGCATGTGGCTCACCGGCGCCCAACAGGAGTGGCGTCCCGACCTCTCCGGGGGCCTCCCCACAGGCGCCTTCTTGGCTGAAGTACCACCGGCTGGGGGCCTCCAGGCCCTGGGCTTCTTCCCAGACCTCTTGGTTGATTAAGGCCGCCTCTTTACTTGCCTCGGCAGAGAGTTCCAGCACCTGGGCGAAGCTCCTGCAGAAACGACAGGATGGATGAAGCCTTTTCGCCCTCTGTGCTCAGGAGCCAGAGAGAACCGGGGGGGGGCTGCGGCCCTCGCGGCTGCGATGTGGGGAAGGGGGCTGCTTCCTGTGTGCTCCTGGGACAGCGCAGACAACCAAGGACAGAACGAACCTGAGCAGAACTCAAGAGAGGCCCTGCAAGAACAGCACCCGGCAGGCGCGAGGGAACGTTCGTTCATTCACCAAACGTTTAGGGAACACCCACACCGCGTCAGGAACCATGCCATGAATGGACGGGTGGCCCTCACACAGTGTAAGTGGCGGCGGGGAAACACACCCTGAAGGAGCGTGTCTGGCCAGCCGAACGTGGGACCCTTGTAATCTGGAACCTCTGAGGCACGCTGAGCTCATCTGAGGGCGCACACAGAAGGAAACGTCATAGTAGGCGGCAGCTCTTTTCTACGAGTAACTTTCAAATGCTTTAGATATTTCAGGAAGCACATTCAGCATTACGAAGGAGAACAAAATGAGATTCTTTTAGGGAAGATGAGGAGGAAAGCCCCACGGTAAAAAAAAAAAAAAAAAAAAAACACAGGGGAAAGCTTCAGCACTGAGAATGGTGCCGAGGGGGCTTTCTGGGGGGAGCGGGCTGTGGGGTGCACTGCGGCCTGGGGGCTGCTTCCCTAGGGCACACGTTTGTGAAACCCATCAACTAAACTGTTAGGATCCATGCCTTTTCTTTCTTTTTTTTTTTTTTTTAAGATTTTATTTATTTATTTGAGAGAGAGAGAGAATGAGAGATAGAAAGCAGGAGAGGGAAGAGGGTCAGAGGGAGAAGCAGACTCCCTGCTGAGCAGGGAGCCCGATGTGGGACTCGATCCCAGGACTCCAGGATCATGACCTGAGCCGAAGGCAGTTTCTTAACCAACTGAGCCACCCAGGTGCCCGGATCCATGCCTTTTCTATATGTAATTATACTTCCAATAACAAGTTCCAAGAAGATCACCCCAAGCCCTTACCCCAGGAGACGTTTCAAGCACGAGCAGACCCATCCAAGGGCACCGGAAGTGCTTTGACTCTGGGCAAGTACAGGACGGGTGACGCTAGAGCCCCCTTTCTATCGTGGCTGCTTGAGAACAGACACGGGGGTTTGGGCTGAGTTCAAGGTGCTTTGTCCAGGCCCCACTCCCTGCCACAGCAGACCCCTGCACCCCCAGCCTCTGAAAACACCAGAGCTGCCCCCTCTCTGGAGCACGACCCACTGCTCCCAACTTCAAATCTTTTCTGCAATACCTTCGGAGCTCCAGATCCTTCTTTTGGGTTGTTTCCTTGAGTTCGCTCAGCAGGTCCAGAGCTTTCACGTTTTCTTCTAAACTGCCAATCCCCAGTTCTTCCAGCAGATGGCATGTGGTCATCAACTCCCGCTGCAAACTGTCTGGAGGGAGAAAGGGACGGTCAGCCAAGGGTTTCATGGTGCCCCAAGCAAGGGATGCGCAAGCTGGGCAGCTGACTGGATTTTTCTTGTTCCCTGGAATGCTTGCGTGTTATGCTGGAATCGTGAAGAGCTCAAAGGCAGAGAGGGTCGTGGAAGACAACCTTCATGTGCTGGTACCACCTCTATGCCCCTGTGCTGGAGCCCACAGAGGCCTGAGACCATGGATCAGGCATGTCCACCAGCCCGACAGTCGCTAGAACGGGCCTGGAAGGCCACTTCGACGTCCTCAACAGAAACCAATGCAAAAGGCCAAGGAAGTCTGTCCTGCGAGCAGCTTAAAAACAAGCCCGTGGTTCCCACTCCGCGTTCCTGGCAGCTCTGCACCCCTCACCCCTGAGAGTATGGCCTGCATCTAAGGACACCAGCAGCTCTCCACTTCCAGCACGTGCCACGCCTAAACACACGATGCGTGACAAGTGGACACCGTAACATTTTGAGAACATTATAAGGGTTCTTCCACAAACACCCATTCTCTTCTACTCCTCGTTCTGGTCTCCACTGCCTCCTCCCACAAAGACATGGTGAGGACCTAATCTCAAGTACCTGCGAACGTGACCTTACTGGACGTGGAGTGGAGTCTTTGTCAACATCACTGGGTTACAGTGAGGTCTGT